GAGAGAACGCTTTTAAGTATTATTTAATATTACATATATAAACAAAATGAATCGGAAGTACTTACAATATCTTTATTATTTTATAAAACAGCTATCCCAAAGACATCATGTTTTATTATTTTAAAAGTTATAACTATTTAACTATTTTTTTATTTAAAGAAACCATTTGCATAAACCAATTACGAATACAGGGTTGCGCAATGGAAGAATCATATACTCCAGCGGCTATAATGATTATCGAAGAAAAAAGCTGTTGTTTCAGATATATCTAGTTAAGCATTGAATATATTCAGTGCTCGTAGGTAAAATCTATCAACAAGTGAGAGCTCTATCAGAATCACGTGAGATCAGAAATGAACCTGAGTGGTAGGCTTCTGTCAGACTCAGATCAGTTTAGCTTAATTCCTGATCTGTCCTGACACCGATAGAAAACCGATGCTCATCTTGTGCTCTACGAATTGTGAAGTAGACTATTTTTCAGATATATATTTTTATTCTGACTGCTCGATAAGAGACAAAAAACAAAGTTCTGATATATACATATACATATATCTATATATATATATACATATATTTAGAGAGAAATACATACATATACAATATATTTATTTCTATATAGATATAAGCTTTTCACAATTTCCGCGATTCTATTTGTACATATATCAATTTTTAATTAATTTAAAGTAAATTATATTTTAACAAAAAATTGAAGTATTGTTCCTTAAAATGTTTTCTTAATATGTTTGTCTATTAATATTTTAATATTATAATATTAATATTTTTATAATTTGTAAAAATTTTATTAAATGAAGAGACAGAGAAAAAACAAAATAAAGTTCGAGACAAATTTAAATAAATTAAAAAAAAAATTAAGTTTAAAAAATCGATAAAAATAAAAGAAAATGCCGAAATTTTGAGTAATATACATATATCTTTTGTATGTATTGTATCAAATAATGTTTTAGGAATTTCGTCATGCATGAGAAAAATAGTTACCAATATGTAACTAAAAAAAATTATACGAAAATACTTAATGTTATTAATTTTTTTATTTGAATTTCTTATTTTTATTTGTTTTGTATATTTAATTTTATGATAAATATATAAACGTGCGTCATTAATATGATAGACTGATGTTCTGAAAATGTAACGCAAGAATGTAATTTTATATTCTATACAATATTTATATCAGTCAAATTTATTATTCTAGAGCATTTATATTTCATTATACTTATTTATATCACACACTACAGTTGTATTAAATATTCTAACGTATGTTATCACAAGGAAAGATAATATATCGTTCCTGATTTAATTAAAGGATTTGACTGCTTCGCATACATATTGCGTGTATTGTTATATATTGTTGTCTACAGGGTGCAAAGTTATAGAAGCAGTTGTTGTGGCTTTGACCAATATACATCTTACTCTTCTGAGTAGACTTCTGCCATTCATATCGCTTCCAATATTTAAAATGAGTATTGTATATTATGGTAGATGCATCAGCAAATGAATTTGAGTTTGTATAAAATGATTAAATGCAAAATTTTAAGGTAATGAATAATTGAGTACAAACGTTTATAAATAACTGTTTTTAAATTATTTCATAATATCTGAGATATAAAAGAGAAAGAGAGAAAGGAGGAGAGA